ATAAGAAGGAGGTTATCTATTCGTCGGAATATTTTTTTTATGTACATATGTTACCGCAACACCGATTTCGATAATTCTTTTTTTTCAGAGGTGGTCCCATCCTAATTTGGTTTAGTTCCGATTATTAAATCATGAAGAAATTAACGGTAATCTTAAAGTTTTACATGAGAATCATATACGTTCTCTGCTATAATAGATGCTAGCTGAATATAAACTACTTATTTTTCAACAAAAAACCTTACTCGATAGTAAATTTCAAAAATATTTTAAACGTATTTTGAATAGGAACTTATAACTTTTTTACCATCTACAAAACCGACGAAGTGGCAACCATCTATAGAAGAAAGAAATCAGCTGACACGGAAATCTCTTAATTCCGCAGTTTTCCGCGCTACGGGCTACAACTACAGAAAAATTCGGCGGTGTTGAGTTTTCATTTGCATGGCGCTCTGGTAAGACAGATCGTGTCAGATGACTCGGGTTTACGTACCGGTAGGTTTACGTTCTTGACTAATTTCACCTTACCGGTTCGGGGAAAATTAAACTCATGATAAGGCTGATTATATACTAATAGGCGTTTTCATCAAAAGTGATAAACTTGATGAAGTGATAAATTTATTATTTTGATAAATGAACTGTTACTACGTTTATGCGTAAGTTAATTCACGAATTCATTTCATGAATTTGGTTTGAAATTCGCTACATAAACACCATTTCCTGAATTCAATTATACACAAAAGTTAACCATGAATTCGGCATCATTTCATGAAATCGTGAAGTGCAAGTCCGGCAACGCCATGCTTCACAACAGCTGTTTACTAGGGTTATGATGTTTTTAGATTAATAACCATGAGTGGCACAACCAGGATTTTAAACACGGGAAAAGTTATGTGGAATAGTTTAAATATAAAATAAATTCAAATAGAATAAACTGAAAATATATTAAAACCAATTTAAATAAAATATGGTTCATTGCCTGGTACCAACGGCTTTTGCAAATTCAAAAGGAGGCCAAAAAAATCACAACCCTACTGATTATTTTCCCGCCATCGCGTTGACACTTTTTCAGAGCACCTTATTTCATGAATCCGCGAACTATGCATAAAAGGGACCATTTTTGAACGAATTTCATGAATTCTCTCGCATAAACGTAGTAGGTCAAACTTTGTATGGATTCACTTATCAATTTTGATTTCCATATATTTACTTCAACTCTCATATAATATCTATATATATATCATGATCCACTGATCGGATCTTAACCAGACTAGTATGGGACCACCTCTGAGATACTACCTTTCCGATGCAAAAATAATTATCGAAATCGGTTGACGTGGTCCAAAGTTATGCGGTAACATACATAAAAAAAATAAAAAAATAAAAAATAAATAAATAAAAAATAAATAAATAAATAAATAAATAAATAAATAAAAAAATAAATAAAAAAATAAATAAATAAATAAATAAATAAAAAATAAATAAATAAAAAAATGTATAAAAAATAATAATAAATAAAAAATAATAATAAATAAAAAAAACATAATAAATAAAAAATAAAATAAAAAATAAAATAAAAATAAAAAATATTCCGACGAACTGGAAGTCGATTATAAAAAAATAAAATTATAGTTTAAAAAACAAAACCTCGCTATTATAATTTCCATTCGTACTGTCATCAGGTATGTAACTTGAGAATAGAAATCGCTGCATCTTTTAGGCGCATCAATATTACGTAATTACATCCCGAGCTAATAAAAGGGAGATAAAAAAGAAATGAAAAAACCGAAATAACCGCCAATTCAGTTTCTATTTAACTGTTCATTAGTCAATTCATCGTGGCACCTGTCGTGCAATAGCCACACATCGTCAATAATTCTTCCACATACACAAACCCTGCGTACGAGCAAGGGCAACAACCCCGAAATAATGAACGCATACAGATATACCTTCAAAACGGAACGGCAAAACTTCCATCGATTTCCGGTAGTACATTCCAGACAAATGTGGAACGCAAAATATACAAAACTTTGGCACGAAAAAATCAACCCTGTGCATACGAATATGCCTTCAAAACGGAACGTCAACAACAACAACAAAGCAACGGCATTATGGAGACACACACACGTATACACGTACACATGCATGGAACGCCTGCATTAGCGCAAAAAAAAACCACTGAAGCCACAGAAGTTCCCATGCCCATAGCCGACTATTTCTTGCACTTTTTCATTAAATTTCACTTGCATTCGTAAATTTAATATTTGTTAAAGTCACTTACCACACTCAGATTCCAATAGGAATGCGGTGAAAAGCACAAAACTAAAAACAGAAGCGCGACTGCGTCCGCGATACAACAACACTTCGGCCATTTTTAATTGAAATTGAAAGAGAAAATCAAAACACACGCACATCGCAAGAAAAAATACGAATGACAACGGTAAAGGCGTAGAGTGAAAAGTAAACACATGGTTGCATTTTGTATCGATTATGCGTATTGAATATCGGTAAATCGAAGTAATCAGCCCTATCGCCGATTCCATAGTGAAACATTTCGTTCCAATTTAATAGGCGGAACAAAAATTAATTAGAAAAAAATGTCGGATTGCTTTATAATTTTGGCAATAATTGTTTACATATAATTCGTAACAAAGCGCCTGTGTATTGTGGCGGTCTATATAGTAGAGATCGTCTGCTTTTAAATCAGTGCTGAATTTTAAGTGGAGCAGCTTAAATTGCCTAGATAGATTTGCGCCAAGTGCCTTATACTGCTCTTGACAATGTTGACCTTGTTTTTTTTTTAAATAAAAACCATCATTTAAAAAAGAACAGTGCTTTTATATTTTTCATTATACATTATACGTTCAGGATTCAACGTACAATTTAAATTTTATTACACCCTATTCTTCTCTAAACCACTTTTACATTAAAAATCATCCCATCCTTCGCGTAACCATCAACTATTGTTTACTTCTTGGATTTGCCAGTGGATTTCTGGCCGGGTTTCTTGGCAGCCGACTTGCCTCCCGCTGATTTGCTAGCTTGCGTCTTGGCGGTTTTCTTCTCAGCGACGGGCTTTACTGGTTTTACCAACAATTCACGTTGGCTCTTCAGCGCCTTCACGATTTTCTGTTCCTCGATGAGGAAAGCACGAACGATACGCTCACGCAGACACCTGTGGCACAAAACACCACCATAGGTACGGGCAACGGTCTTTTGACGTTTCGACAAGCGGGAACGTTCGCATGGGCGTGTGGGGCGAATACCCTTTAGCTTCTCTTTACATTGACCACACTTTGGCACAGTCTTGTTTTTCTTTACATATTGGTATACCAGACGACCGCCAGGTGTGCGCACACTGAAAAGAAACCAAATTTATTAGAGGTGCTGTATAATGTAGTTAAGGAATGTAGCCGTGACATCAATGAATTGAACCGCACTTGCCGCACCAGCAGATATACAGATCATGTTTAATGCATTTGCCGCAGTCACTTAGCAATTACTTTACGAAAACAAATGCCAATTCGTCACCACCGGCAGCATTCCTTACTCCAAATAGCATTTCATTGTTCAATAGCATTTACTTACATACGCCTCCTGTTGGACTTGGTGTTGTAGGAGAGACGTCTTCTCAGAGTCAAGCGTTGAACCATTTTGTCCGCTGTAGCAAAATAGTCGACAGAACCAACGCATTAGTGGATCCATTGTCATATCACGGTATGTCAAGAGGAGCGAATTTATGCACATAAAAATAGATAGAAGAAAAATATACACATTAGCTCATTGATAAAACACGCACAAGGCATTCATTCAAGTTTAGGGATTGCCGATTTCTTCACATCTCAATGAATTTCGCTGATGTTTAAAGATTTTTTTGTATCGTTGTCGAAAAAACAGTACGCATACCTTCAAGAAATAAACTAGAAAGGAAGTCGTCGGCAATGCAGTGAAGCAAAGTGAACTTGGCTGCTATTACAGAAAACTGTCAAAACTGTCAAAAATGTCAAAACTTTGTTTTGGGATCAAAAGCAGTACCGGAAATCGGTTCGGGACACGGGTTTGGGATCAAAAGCACTTCAGGAAATCGGTTCGGGACGCGGGTAGTTCATTTAATCCCAAAACAAAGAAAGCTTTCTAAAAGGAAATGTCAAAACAACTAAAATTTGTGGGAGGCATTAGGTTTGTTCGTCGAAAATCCAGCAAGAATTATCCAACACTCAAAATATCAGAGAGTAAGAAAAAATTCTCTCAAATTCTCTCTCATGTTGAGAAACTTGCAAATTTCTGCACGAACGCAAATTTGCAGGAATTTGCAAGTTTCGCTGCCAGCTGGCGTCCACGGTTGCATTTCAAACATAAAAAATTTTTATAGAATTTTTAAAATTCTTTCGGATGGCCAAAAACAGGATATACATGTATATTTCTTGTTGTTCTGACTTTCTTTAACATACATTTCAATTTCTTCATCGTACTAGCTGTCGGGTTTCTTAAATCGACTCTGGTTGCAATTGCATTCCGATTGCGAATACCATTTTTTTCAGCCGAATTAAGTTCAAATCATTGGAATTAACTAAATTAATTATATCAACAATTATTTACTTCCTTTTTTCATAAAAAAATCGCTCGTGTTTATAAATTTTTAAATTTAACGAACTAATTTATTCAAATTATTGTAGACAAAAATGCAACCATGCGCCACAACCACATGTTTTTCGTGTTTGCAAATTCTTGCTGGCAAAATTTTTTCCAGCAAGAATTTGCAACTTCTCTCCAAGAGAACTGTCACTTTGCTCTCACAATTTTTGAGTGTTGGATAATTTTTTGGTCTGTACGAACGCGATTTGGGCAAAAATCGTGATAATTCGTACAAATTCGTACAAATTTTTTGCTCGACGAACAAACCTATTTACAATTTGTGTACAATTTTTTAATAGTTTCTTAAAAATTGGCTAACTAAGCAATAAACAATGTATTATCAATCAACAAGTAGTTTACAAATAAATTTAACTTATTTAAATGTTTTATGAACAGACAGATAAGTAATTAAATTCATTTTTTAATAAGCATTTACATATCAATGGTCAAAGATTGACAACACATAACTGAGAATTTTTCCCAAATTTAGTTATATTTAATTCAAAATAGGCATGGATTATAATATTCACAAAATATGCCGGGTTTGTCTGGAGGAAGGCGCACTCACCTCTATATATAGCACTGAATTTGCGATGATGCCTTGCACCATGTTGATGATGTGCGCCAAGATACGGGTACGCCCAAACGCACAACTGGAATAATATATGTAAATTAAATTTTTAAACGAAATGCTCTTTCAAGGTTTATAAAAGCGATGGCTTGCCAGCAGTCATATGCAATAATTGCATTTATCGTTTGGGAGTCGCTTATCACTTCAAGCAGGAGTGCGAAAACTCGGATATGAGGCTGCGTCAGTACCTGGGTTTGCAAGATCGGGGATATGGGTATATATTTAAATGTAGCCTTAGCAGTCATGTTTACTTTATTGTTTTAAATCTACCTGCAAAATAGTTTCTGTGAAGCAGCAACCAACACAGATTTGGCAATTACATCTTTGGACAGTAAACCAAACGCGTACTTGGAGCATGATTCAGAAGACGAGTCGGATGTGGGTGAAAATGTGAGAAAAAGGTGGGTATTTTTTTCATAGCCACTTTTTAACTATTGTAATAAAACTTTCCTTCAATTTAGTAAGCGCCGTTCGCGATACCAACGCAAGCCTCCTGAGCAACATAAGCGTCGCGGCCCCAAACCCATACCGAAGTTACCTCAAACCTGCTATGAGTGTAATAAAACTTTTAAATGTGCCGCACAACTGCAAATGCATTTGCGCACACATACGGGCGAAAAGCCATTCGCATGTAATTTCTGCCCTCGTCGCTTTGCCCAAAAGTATAATCTCCACATTCATCAACGCACTCACACTGGTGAGCGTCCTTTTCAATGTGAGATTTGTTCAAAGCAATTCTCTGCATTGGGAAACTTTCAAGCGCACCAAAAGATACACACTGGCATACGTGATCAATTGTGTCCAGTGTGTCAGAAGGCCTTCTATAGCGCCGGCGATCTTTCCAAGCACATGGTAATACACACGCATTTAAAAAATCATCATTGCGATGTGTGTGGCAAGTCTTTTAGTCGTCAACGTGACATGCAGGCCCATAAACGTAAACAACATGTGCTGCAAGAGCGTAGTGAAGACGACGAAGATGAGGCAGTTGACACCTCCTGCCCGGATCCGGTGGTAGTGGTGGGTGGTGGTGTTGTGCCGGGCGCTTCCGTACTCCACGAAAGCTTCAAATGTCCAGACTGTGATAAGGAATTCGGGTCGGCGAGCAGTTTGAGTGTTCACTTTCGTACGCACGCCAATAGTAATTTGCTAAGTTTGCCACTTACCGGCCAAATGCCGCCACATCATTATCATGCACCGCCACCACCGCCGCCGTCAGCTCCTCCTCCACCGCAAACGCATGCTGCACTCGCCCACGATGGCTTGCATGCACACACGCATCATTTGTCCTTGAATGCGCCACTACAAGCCAACCATCCGACACATATGACACATCATCCGACGATGGCGCATATGCTAGCAGCAGCACAGCAACCGCCGCCACCACCGCCCACGCCATCGGCGCAAAGTAGTGCGGCATTAAGTATGATGCATGCGGCACAGCGATTGCATCCATTCTGAAGGAATATGAGGCAGTCTTAAATTTAATTAGACAATTGTATTGTAGTAATAATTTATTTCTCGGTATATGTATTTATTTTAACGTACATATATGCTGATAAAAGTGTATACAAAAGTGGAAGGTTATCCTCTAAATATTCACGCACAAAATATTTGTACTTGTAAACTCTAATAAACTAAAGAACGAAAAAAATTAAAAATGTAGCATTACAATATAAATAAAATTAAATTTGGCAAGCACAGCTTCTCATGTTGTATTAAAAGTAAACTCCTGTCATTTTTTTTTTACATATTAATAATCCACTACAAACACTATGCAAATGCTACTCAAGCTATTATCTACTTTAATTACAATATTAAAATGTGGGAATGAATATATGTATATGTAATTCATGTCATGAAGAATTTTTAAATACATATTTGACCATTTTGATTTTGTCTTTTCATAAAAAAAAAAAAATAAAATATTTTACTTTGGGGTACTTTCCCTGCTATTCATTATTTATACTTGATTTATGCATATATTGCATTTATATTTTTAGACACATGTATTTGGTGTAAAATCGTTGGTAAAACCTTAGTTCTATTGACGCTACATATGTACCCAACGAACTTATACACAATATTGCTTATCTGGATATTTGTAGTTAAAACTCTTGATTTTCTACTTTAGTTTTTCCCTGAGCCACTCCTCGGTCAGTTCATCTAATTCTCGTATTTCGTAGACGCGTGTCAAATCGACCTCGCGCTGGAGGGCACTTTTGGTGCAAGCATACATCATTTGTAGTTCAATCTGTTGAAGAGAACATGGGTAAATATATATGTAGATAAGTGAATTTTGTTTAATTTAATTTAATTTAATTTTACTGTCCATACCTGACTATCGCGCGGCGTGTAAAATATGAAACACATAGGGTATGAAATTCTTTGGTCATCATGTATCATTTTGTATGTATAAATGATATATCGAGGCTGATGTCCTGGCAGTGTTTCTTGCAACTCATCGACGGAGATGTCCTCCAAAAGTTCATCTAAAACTACAAGCTGCTTTTCGCGATCGACTTTTACTAAATAAAATACACAAATTAGTGACGTACATGCTATGATTTATCATTAAAACAGGTATACATGAATGTATGTATTAATTAATATTTAAATTAAAAACATTATTTGAGATTAACTATGCAGGTAGCTATGTACAGACATATGTACATATATATCCGCCCAAAACCCATACCCATTCAAATTTGTTTGGTACTTAAATAAACAAAAACAAAAAGGTCAGAAGAGAAAGCGTTGAGCACACCTACTACGTATAGAGTAATTTGCATAGCTAAGTTTACCGCCAATTTGGCAGGTCCAATAAAAATTTTAATTATGTTTATACATACATACGTACATATACACGGTATGCTTAAAACCAGTTACTTACATATGAGTGCAGAGTTGGCAGTACTTTTACGGAAGCGAAACTTCTTCAATGCGTCACGTACATCGTCGCTAATGTCACAAATTTTGCTATCGCCCTGGGGAAGATGAAAGAACATTGCTAATCAATCCAAAAAAAAAACACATATTTTCAAGGTCTCATAACAACACCTCCAATTAAATATGTACATACATACAATAACAATATTATTATCAATTACAGTTGATTCACTAATTGCTCAGTTATGTTCCACACCCTTCCGCAGACGTCGTCGTCGACACGAGCGCCTCTACTTCTGTTGCTCCAGACAACGACGCGTGATTTGTATTAGTCATAACAACTTTTATTTCGTAGTTTAATGCTTAATTAAATTTTTTTCGTACTTACCATTATAAATAAATGTTTTAATATGACTTTGGTGACAGAATCGTGTAAAAATTTCCTGAGAACTTCTTGGGAGGAATGTGTATACGGAACTTAAAACACTTTATGATAGCAAACAACGATAGCAAAGCAACAACACGCATATACAAAAGAATACAAACTAAATTTGTTTTACTTGAATGTGAGGTGGGGATATCGGAATAACATCGATGCATCGAAAATATCGATGTTTTGCGTCGATGCAACGAAAATTTTCCACTCAATGTATAAATAGTCGATACATCGATGTTTTTTTTGAAAAACATTGAACCGGAAATTAAGTTTTTCAATTGTTCACCAAAAAATTTAAATTAATGTGCAATAATATCGGTAAAATCCTATGCAAATCGATGTATCGAACAAATATCGATACATCGAATCAAAGAAATACATCGATGACATCCCTAATGTTAGGTCAAAGTGGAATGTACAACAGAACAGGGTTGCATGAGGGAGCAAAGTGCTTTAAAAGGAAGTCACCTGGTAATATTTAATAATTCGTGCATTTCCGCTTAGTTATGACAACAAATAGCTGCTATCCACTTCAAAATCTAGATTTTGATAATTATTATCAATTATATTGATGAAATATTGATTTTTATGATGTCAATTAAAAAGAGAATTTCTGCATATTCTGTATGCGAAACAAAGCCAAGTGCCGTTAAGACCGGAAATGCCGTTTACTAACGGCCGCCATATTTCAACAAGTACAATAGCTAATCTCCGCTATAATTTTGTATTTGCTGAAAAAATCTATAGAATTTTGTGTTTAAAATGCTCACTGATTTTCAGGAATCATGGTTAACTAGTAGAAGAGGAACTTTACCAAAGATCAATGAATTGGAGTCGATAAATGTTGCAAAAACATGGTAAGTTGAAGCATAACGGAGTACACAACTGTTTTTAAAGGCGTCCTTTCACCTAAACATGTTCAGTGAAAGGTTGCGTTTAGCCATTACACAGTCGCGTAATGGCCTCCAACGCACGCTGGATCTTACACATAAGCATCAATTGGAGGCGCTATCCTTTCGTTCCATATCAGGTCTTTGCTACACTACGTTACGTGTGCACGAATTGCAAGTAAACGATTTGTTGAGTAAGCTGTGGTTTTAATTATAAGAAGTTTTCATCATATTCGATATTCTGCCTACAATAGATAGATCAGAAGCCCTGGTGGCCCAGAGCCGAGATTGGACCACAATACAGACAAGAAAGCGAAGGTATTTACATACATGTGTGATGAAAGGTTAATGCAATTTCAGAAATAAGGATCAATCTTTAAACCTAGCCGCCCGTCTACTTGCTCAGCCTCATATCGTTCGAAAAGGAAAAGGCGTCGCACAATAGAATATTCTATGCAGGACATATCGACAACAAATTACTCACAACTGTTGGACGAAACGGAAAATTTTGTGGAATGGGGAAAAATAGACGAATATGTAAATAAAACGGTTAGAATTTTTATTTTAAAAAAATTTGAACTTCACTTATCTGATTCACTTATGATATAGATGACAAAAGCAAATGGGCATAGCAGGACAACTTGTATTCATATACGCGAGATAACCATTAATGAAGTTGATATTCAAAACGAGCGCTATTCAATGGATGAGGACGAAGGATTTGGTAATGCGACAGCCGAGGAAATGACTACACTTGTACAATTGCTCTCAGGTATGGATTACTTTTTTTAAGTTAAAAAGTTCAAAAAACAAAATATTTAAAAACATTAACGCAGATACATCCGCCGCAACAGTGAAGGAAGCTAAGGCACAAAAGAGAAAGGTGAGTGCATGAAATTATGGAAATCGCTGGGTAGTATATTTTAGATATTTTTCTTTTTGTTCAAAAGGCTTTGGAAATGTCGACCATTCGTGAGAAAAGAGCAAAGTGTGCCGAAGGTAAAAATTAAGTTGCACAAAATTTTGGTCATAAATAATTATCTTTAATTTAAGATTCAGCGCACGATGTATCTCGCAGCGGTCTTGAGTACTCTAAAATTGAAATTCCACGTAGTGCTGATGCAAGAGGAAATGACATGGTCGATAATTTTATTCCTGCAATGGCAAGCAATCCAAGCCAAGAAAGTTTTGCTCAAGAGAGGTGAGTTGATGCATAGACTTATAACTTTAATGAAAAAGTATTTGAACGTGGCGATGTAATTAAAAAATGTTGTATTAGCCCGGGTTATATGCAAACTGATGCGCTGTCCATCACAGAAATGAATATAGCTGAAAAAACTAAGGAGAAGAGGTGAGGTAATAGTTTAGATAAGTTTATTTTATTTAAATGCTGAAAGTTGTTTAGTTGTGATGCCGCAAATAATACTAGCTTCGATGTGGCCATTGAAATCAACGAGCCGTTTGAAAACTGTGACACTGCAAAAGAAATTGCTAATGAAACGAACATCACTTGCAATTTTAATCAGGTATGTATTGCTCGCATTTTATGCAACTATTAATACTAAACAAAATTTTCAAACAACAGAACTGCGTCGCTTCTAGCAAATCAACGAACAAAGTTAGAAAAATAATCATGGACCAACGCATTGAACTAACGGAAACGGAAATGCGTACACAGCTACAAACTAAAATTAATTTTAGAGCAAAATTAAGAAAAGCCAGAGCTAAGGTCAATTGGATTCCGAAGCGACATTTGCCGAGTGAAAAATCTTATGAAATGATTCTGCCGTCGGCCAATAAACTACTAACCACACTCAGCCGCAAGTAATTCAAAGCTATTAATGCTCATTCAAACTCTTTTTCAAATAATGCCATATTTACCGCAGCTGTGTTACAATGAGAAACTTTAAAAGGAAGAACCATGTCACGCGCCGAAGTTTGGACAATTCTCGGATCTCTGCTGCCTATCGTAGTTTAATACGAGAAATTCTACAATGCGAAGTTACCGACGAACTTGCTACCCAAATTTATAAAAATTGGAATAATGGTGAGAAACATAAATCCATAAATAGACGCCAGAGGTTGCCTACGCCTGTGCCGGAAGACATTCATCAGGCAATTATAGAGCCCAATAATGGTATGGGAAGTGCTGTTATCAACCTTAACAATAATTTAGAACTGCCAGTTGATACTTGTGTAAGCTTTTGTATAGATGTATTAAATTTATAGTATATAATTTTTGGAATTTAGTCTCAGTCTGATGACCAAGATGAATGGGGCGCTTTTGATGTAATGGTAAAATTGTTGAATTTATGGCGTTCCAAAAATGTACTAGGAGACGAAATACCTGTGGAATATCTTTTACAGCCGGCTATACTTATACGAAAGAAAGCTGCAAAAGCGTTCGCTGCACTATTAAGTATTC